GAGGCTTTCTTATCTTTAGCCTTTTGTTCTCACGGTCAAGGGAAGGAGTATTCCTTGAGGTTGCAGGAGCTCTAACTTTAGTGACCCAAGTACTTTTCAATATTTCTTCAAGGAGCTGCTGAGTTAAAGTCCAGTGAGGAATCTAGCAGGAGCCTCCACACCCACACTGAGCTGCTGTTTTGTGCTTTCCAAATCTCGAGCAGGCATACTTCACGCCATTCATGCCATTTCTTCCCCTCCAAAGCTCCATTCAAAAGTAGTTCACGATCTCCATTAACTTTCTCCACACAGCTAAAGCCAGATTTGCCTACCATGGATTAGCCAAATATATACGTTACCTGCCTGCCCTTCAAAGCTAGTTCTAATACATCTGCAAAATAAGTAAACTGTAACAAACAAATAAAAAAATGGAACTATTCCAGATCTTCGAAAATCATTGTGGAACAGTCAGAATGTACTAACAGCCTAGGTTAAGAAAATGTCCCTGTGGCCACATTCAACTGGAATTTTGTGATGAAACAGCTATTGGTGGGTTAGGCTAAGTTTAAATCATTTCATTGCCACGAATTATTCTTTGTGTCATAATGTGCCATAATGCATAGTATGACATATGAGTCATAAAACTGTAATGAATTTTTAAAAATCACTTGGAGAGAATTTGTGAAACTCGCTCTTTTCCCCAAGCCATATCAATCTCAAATTCGCCTGAGCTCCAGAAACATGGACCTGCTATTTTGTTCAGAAACACAAAAGTCTGCTTCAATGAAACACTAAAGCCATGCCTTATTTTCCTGGAGCCTCAGAAAACTGTCTTCTGAACTTCATGTACTTCCTGTTCAAACCCTCTCTCTCCCCCTTAAATTTTGAAAGATGCCCCTATTAACACTTCCGAATCTTAAAAACAAAAACAACAAAACAATCTCTGTGCTTCTTCCAGTACTGTAGACACTTGGTTCTGTGTCTCCTAAACCCTGGAGTTTGTCCTTATTAACCTCTAACCCCAGAAAGTCCATTTCTTTTCCCATAATTTCTGCCACCTCTTTTCACTTGCTTCTCCTGAGACAGCATGACCAGTTCTACCTACAGCCCCTGAGCAGTCATATGAAACTATATCTCTTAAGTCGTTAAACCTAACTGAGATTAGGTTTAATCATCGTTTCCATTTATTAGATATTTATTATGTTCCAGGCACCAGCTGAAGTGCTTAAATATAGTTTCTCATTTAAAACTTTAAAAAGTCCTGTGAGATAGGTATTATCCCCATCTTACACTTCAGACAACAATCTCAGAGATCAATAACTTATCCAAGGTCACCTAGCTGTCATGTGGTGAACTGGAATACAAACCTTGGTGGGTTTGATTCTAAAACCCAAGCCCCTGACTGCCTGTATACTGCCTGTATTTCCTAAGCCTGTCAGGGTGGCCCAGACTAGATCACTGCTGGATCCTTTGAATTCTATGACACACAGTTTCTCTAAGATTCTAAAATGTGATAAACAGAATAATAGTTCTCCAAAGGTGTCCATGTTTTAAACCCAGAATCTGTGAATATGTCACCTTAAATGGCAAAAAGGGCCTTGCGCAAATGTGATTAAGTTAAGGATCTTGATCTGGGGAAATTATGCTAGTTTATCTGGATGGGTCCAATGTAATCACAAGAGATCCTATAAAATGAAATAGGGAAGCAGGAAGGTCAGAGAAGGAGATGTGATGATGGAAGCAGAAGTCAGAGAGAGAGAGAGGAGATCTGAAGATGATTGTTTTGGGTTTTGAAGGAGGAGGAAGAGGCAACGAGTCAAGGAATGAAGGTGGAGACGGCAAGGAAACAGATTCTCCTTTAGAGCTTTTAGAAAGAACACAGTTCTGCCAATAGCTTGATTTTTGAATTTCTGACTTCCAGAACTATAAGGTATTAAATCTGTGTTGTCTTAAGCCACTAAATTTGTGGTAATTTGTTACATTAAAGCTTGGATACTGTGGTTGATTTAACACGGCCACATATTCTTTGCAGTTGCACCCAGCAAGTGGTGGAGACCATTTCTCCTGACTCTGGCTCGCCATGTGACTTGCTTTAACCAATGAAAGTGACTAGTCTTGCATGATTATTATGTGTCCCGGCCTCAGACCTTACAGGTTCTGTCTCATGCTCTTAGATGCTGCCACCGTGTGGACAAGTCGGAACTAGACGGGCGGAGAATCCTCAGCCAACACCGCTGTCAGACAAGTGAGAGGGGCCATCCAGCAGAGCTGTGTTGCCAGAGACAGCAGCTCCGTGAGGATCCCAAGCAAAGCCAGCAAAAGGACCAAGTCAACAGCCCCTTGAAAATTGTGAGCAAATAATATAATTGTTATTTTAAGCCACTAAGTTTAGAGGTGCTGCAATACGTAAATGATACGGGCACTTTCAAAAAATATCAATTCCTACCTCTTTCAATCCCACCAGCTCTAATGATTAAGAATTTCTTATAAGGGGCTTGACCAATATTTTTGAAATAGTGATCTTGTTTTACTAATAATTTTCATTTTCCGCATGCCAAGCACAGTGCCAGGCACATAGTAGGTTCTCAGCAAAGATGTTGATGTCACCAGAATTTTAGAAACTACCCCTCGATCAGTGGAAATCGCTGCGTTTGCATCCACCGCTCCCTGCAAAATTGTACTTGCTGGCTGGCTTGATGTGGGGTTTTTCACTTTTGTTTGCTTGCTGGCTTTTTAAAACAAAAGCCTAGAAACACAGTCTTCCTAGGCTGAGTGCCCTCGAGGAGCCACAGGGAACAGGAACCGAGTGTCCAGTGGGCCTTGGAAAGCAGCCAGGCTTCCAGAGCCCCTTGTGCATTTCTCTTTCGACCGGAGCCCAGAAGCTGTGCTCTTGAAGCCACCTACACTTTCTAGCACTGAAGTGGGAAATCACAGTTTTCCATGAGGAAAAGACATCTTTTAAAAAGTTGATTTACTATATCTGGTTTGTGCTTCTTAACCACACTGAGCAGGAAGTTTAAAAACGGCACACCAAAGTAAGAGCAATAGGTCATCATATCGAGTGTGCCTGGAAATGTCACGGCCCTGGAACTGGACAGTAGTGGAAAGGAAAATCGTCTTTTTAAAACCGACCTCTAAAAGAACAATGAGAATGTCTTCATTTTCCCCTGGGATTTGATAATGAGAAGGCAAGACATCGCGTACTCTCATACAGCCTTTGATTAAACAAATAGCTTTATTTGTAGACTACTCAACTTCCTAGGAAATACCGTTAACGTTATAGTGATCCAAAAACCATAGTTTCAGCTTCTTGTCCACCCGATATGTGCACCAAAATCAGACAAATGT